GGCCTTGCCCCCTTGCTGGGTGTTTAAAGCCCCTCCAACTGTAATGGGACATTACATTTCCATGTACTAGGAGCTGAATACCTTTGCGGATCTGGCCTTGGAGCCTCTGATTTCCAGTAAAGCTCTGGATCTTTCAGTATCACCACCTCCTGCCTCTCTATATTACTCCTAGCAGAAAATAAAACAGGTAAATACAGAAGGAACTTTTCCCACAAACTTTTTAGCTCAGAAAACAGCCTAATACAGAAAGCGACTGTGTGTGCTTGAATGCATTATTTGGAGCAGTGTACCTGAGACTGAAGCCCCCAGCCCATACCTGAGGCTGAACCTCCAGCCCACGCTGTGTTACCTGTGCAGCCCGGGCAAGCACAGCTCCCCGTGGCTGGAGAGTGTAAAAAAAAAAAATAATAAAAAAATCACAAAGTAAGAAAAAATGCCAATGTGGAAGGAACCTCTGGGTAACAGGGCTGCTCTGCCACACCTGAGGCAGAGCACCACACTCTGGTGGCCAAACTGGCCACAGACACGTGCTGGGGTGTGTGTGGCCAGCACAGAAGTGACCCAGGAGTGGCACTTGTGTGTTTTGGTGAGCAAATTCTGCTCCTGCACAGCCTGGTGACAGCAGAGCAAGAAACCTGCCTCTGGCAGGCTCTGCAGGGTGCAACAGCCACCAGACCTCTCACAGGGAACACAGCCAGGGCGCTGCTCCCCCTAAAAATCCGCATCCAGGACTGGAAATTTGCCCTAAGTCTCTGAATTATGTTTGTAAACACCATGCTGCAGCAGGGGGATGAAGCCTCCATTGGAAGCAAGAGATCCATGTGCCACCTGGTGTCCAAAAGCAGATCTGCACTGTGACCTGAATTGCTAACAGATTTTTAAAGTTTAAAACTTAAATAATATCACCACCAGGACAAACCCCCTGCTCAGCTGCAGTAAGACACGGTGCCACCCTACCCATCCTAAAGACCTGTACATCAGAGTGCAGATCGTCAGAAAACACCCATGTTGTCCTCCCAGTTCATTTCTGAGGCAACAGTTTGCCAGGCTTCCGAGTCCTATACGCTCAAACTATAGAGCTTAATTTAAGTTAAAAAAAAAAAATAGGACATTCAGAAAAGCAGCTCTCAGCCTATAAACCAAGAAGGGAAACACAAAGTGGATGCTTCCAGTGCGAGCAGCTGCTGTGACTGAAGTCTGGGGACACTGCAGAGCAACAGAACAAGTTGCTGCTGCTGGAGAGGCAGCTTCAAGTGGCCTTACAGCAAAGTCTTGCTCTCCCTACAGCTGGTGGCATCACGCAGGCAGGTGCTGGGCCATCTGCAGCCAGAGCAGCTAGGGTTGGCCCTGGAGCAAAGCACCAAACTGCTTCTGGAGCTAGAGAGCAAACACAGCTCACACGTGGCACTGCACCTCCAGAATCAGGCAAGCCAGCCCCGTTCCTGTGGCAGTTTTGCAGCAGAGGATCACCAGAACATGCCGCTACTCCCTGAAACTGTTCCAGGACATCTGTAGGGGATGCTCGGCCCTACTGGTCCCTACTATTCTCCTGAGAAGACTTCCAAGGGGACCGTCTGCTCCCATTACATCCCTGTCACACCCAGCATGAGGGGAGATGACTGCCAAGCACTTCTCTGCTCCCCAGACTCTCAGCCCTACAAGAGATGGGATGGGGAGAAGATAACACCAGTGTGGCTAGCCTGCAAATGTGCCAGTCTTCTGGGCACTAACACAGCCCAGGCATGGCAGGTCTCACCTCCTGCCAAGGGGTGGAGAAGGTGGGAAAGATGCTTTGGGGCGCAAAGGCCGGGTGTAGCTGGGCAGCACGCACCAAAACCAGGCCCTGGCAGCAGCAGGGAGTGCTGACTACAGCTTCCCCTGCTCAGACAGGCTGGGTGCAGCCACACAGAGGAGGGCACCCACAGCCATCCTGAAAACTGGGCTGGAAACTTAGTGACAGCATTTCCAGGTCTGTTTCTGAAGGCATGACAGCATATTTAGGCCAGAATGCTCTAATGTCCTCTGAAAAATTAGGTACAAGCTCCTGGCAGCAGCAAGATGCGGGGTGACCCTGCTCTGCCCCGACCACGCAGGGTCCCAAATTCTGCTCCTACAGAATGGAGCTCCTTCAGTTTTTGGGTTTTCTCTCTATTTGGCTAGGCTAGCTAGCTGTGCTTGCTCTGCGTAATTAGGAGGAAGGAAAACTAAGGCAGAGATGCAAATGACCCATCCCAGCACAGCTGAACAAAGGGCAAGGGTCCCAGTGATTACCCCATTAATTATGGGAATAAATGACAGGGTACAGACCTAAAGCAATAAGGATTTTCCCTTCAGGAGGATGCACAGACCTTCTCCCAGCTTGTACCACAGCTCCCACTTAAGAGCCCAAGGGCTGAGAGCAACAGCAAGGCTGACAAACCCTGGTGTGCTGTATTTTGGGGCCTGGCATGGCTCCCAGCGTGGGGGACACAAGCCACCTCATTAATTTCCCACGCCACCCCCGGCTCCCAGTTGCTCAGCAGAGCAGAAATGGTGCAGGGCCTGGGGCTAACTCTGGGCCCAATTAATTTAAGCTGTGCTCAGAAGCTAATAGGGTCCTTAACAGGCACTGAGAGCAATGGGAGCTCATGAAGGCTGTTAAATTTTGTGCTCTTTCAGCATGTGGGAGCCGAGCAGACCCTGAGATCAGCATTCCAGAGATGCCCACGCTGCACGGGCCGTTAACCCCATACACAGCCAGCCCTGCAGGATTCAATAACTGCTTACAGACCCGCCTACAGCCAGGCTGGGTAAGGGATGAGGCACTGGGCAGCAGAGGGAAGATGAGAAAGCACAGATGCTTCCAGAAACACAGGCAGATATCATTTCTGCCTGGGAATTTCCAGGTCCCTGTCAATGTGAACTCCAGAATACCAGAGTAACCTGGAAGCTAAACATCCTCTTGCATCGATGCCAAAAGGCAGAATGTGGATAGGATGCACAATGCCTTTTCTGTTACTGGGCAGACAGAGTGGAAAACTATCCCCAGCTGATGCTGCAGCCATTTAAGAGACTAAACACAACCCTACACACAGCCCCAGAAAGGCACAGATAGCACAACAAGCTGCCTGCTGCCCCCAGAAGCTTCCCTGGCCCTTCCCTGTCCCTATCCCTGCCTGTGCATGTGGAACAAAACAGTTGAGATGATGTGCCACAGCCTTGCAGCACGTTTGTGTGCTCTGGATCTGATATTACAAGTTCCTGGATATCAGAGCAAACATCACCTGCCCACAGAGGCTGAGATGTGCTGGGGAAGCCAGGAAATCACAGAAGGAAGCATTAGGAATTTACGGAAGGAAGCATTAGGAAAAGGGCTGCATCCAGACTGCAAGCACCACCTGGTGGCCACTGCAAGGCAGCCTGCTCTCTGCTGAGGCCTGGCCTGTGGATGTCAGAATGTGTGTCTGGGGATGAACAGGTCTCTGAGGAATATGCAGCTCCCTTCCCATGGCCAAGGTCGTTTTAAGGCAGAAGGGAAGCTCAAAGGCAGGAGCCTCTTCCCCACTTCCACCTTGTGATGCACATAAGGGAGATGTCTGTGCTCACCACCTTCCAGCCCCCACATTTATGCATCCCCTCTACTGCAGGGGCTCAGGGCCTGCCCGAAGCATCAGGACAGAACACAGCTACAAACCCTGTGGTGAGGATGGGGACAAGCTCTCTGCAAAGGACAGGGCTGGAGCTCCAGGAGGAGCAGAGGGCAGAGAGCACAGGCACAGCAGGCTCCCTCTGCCCAGGCAGCGTGCTCATGGAGCTGCCTGGCTCCTGCAGTTCTTCCCCATGCACAAAGGAAGGGAAATAACAAAAACCCAGGGGAGGCTCGTGGTGGACAGGGGATATTACTCAGTCAGCTCTAGCTCAAAGCAGCGCAAGGATCTCATTTCTCACCCATTTTCTGGCCAGTAAGCCCAGCTAGTGCAGCCTGGACCATCTCCAGCTACTGCACAGACTCCTGAGGAAGACTGACTGCTGTCTTCTCCTGCTGTTGGTCCTGCCATGGAGTTCATCACTGCACAGCCTGCCCTCTGCCACCACCACGAACACTGCCTACAGCTGACTCCTGCTCTGCCTCACAATCTGCTTCAAGTCACACCAAGATGCAGGCACAGAGCCAGGAGACCCCTGGATGGAGAGGATCTGGCTGTTCTGAAGGGCTTCCAAAACCTTCCCAAGATCTTACTAAGTACTGACAGCTTATTAAGCCAACTCTCACACAGCTGACACACTTCAGGTCAGCAATGAAGACCTCTGAGCCCACCAGAGCCTTCAAAGGTGGCAGAGGAAAGCACAAACCAGCAGGCTGCAGACTGGAGGGCCTGCAGATGGGAGGTGGGCTCCTGGCTGCAGGTACAGAGCTAGCCCAGCCTCCCTCCAGGCAGGGGCTCCAGATCCCGACAAGGAGCCAGAGTCCTGGCAAGAGACAGCCCAGAACCACACAACCAGATGCTGGGCTCTCTTTACCAGCACCACGTTAGGTGCTTTTATCAAGCAGTGTGGTTACCTGCTGCTTCCATATTAATATAGCTGGGATTACTGAACGGGGCACTATCACAAAGCCACCTCAGAACACTTTCTGCAGGACAGAAGGCTGAAAGCCTTCAGTTAACACCAGAAAGATAAACCTCATTAAATACCAGAGTGCATTCATCAGTGGCTACAGGCTAAGGAACAGTCTGCACCTCTTGTCTTCACACATGGAAAGGGGCACGTTATGCTGCAAAGGGCATCTGGCCCACCTGCAACCCCCAGAGCCACCAAGGATTTCTGCTCTCTGTGCTGCTCTGCCTCACCCTCTCTGCACACAGAAGTTGTGATGAAATCACCTCCCTGTGCAGAAAACACTTTCCTATAAACTGTAGGAAGCAGTGCCATGAAAAGCCTCAAAAAGGGTGATGTGAGACAAGGAAGGAGGAGTTTGCTTGAGTGAAAGGTGCAAGGCAGCCTTTACAGGCAGGTCTTACCTTGGTCCAGTAACCAAGTCTCTGCAGCCGTACTGCTGGCTCACAAACCCGCTGTGGGGACAATCCCCATGGACGCACCTGAGGTGCGGAGGCTGCCCTGAATCCAAGGCCAGCTGAAGGGGGGAGAACGGCCACTCCTGGTGGAGGCTGCGGAGGTGCTGGTGGTGGCTGGACGATCCCCGCCGTGCCTGGAAGTGCAGCAGCAGGAGCCATTTCTCTCTTGGTGTCCTCAAGTTCTTTTTTTTCAGCCCATTGACCTAAAGCAGAAACATGCAGAATATGGTGAAGAGCTCAGTGTCACAGAGCAAAAGGCACCAAACACGAGGACAGATCACTTGGGAAACGTGATCTCAAATTCCTGTTCTTTCCATCACAAGATGCCATCACATTCCCTTCTCAATGACACATGAGAGCAGAAGGCAGCACTGTAGGTGACCTGCATGATCACTTAGGGGCTGGGAATCCTCTTTCCAGGAGCTGGTGCAGGGAAAGATACATCCCTGCAGCAGGGTGACCTCCGAAGAGGTCTGGCTAGCAGGCTACAGCAGGGAGCATGATAGTGCCCCCAGAAATCAGTGGTTGAAACGGGTCTCAGGTGTGGTGGTTTATAGGTCTGCCTCAATATATGCAAATATATTAAAAAAAAAAGTAAACTGCCTAGCAACTCATGCCTATGGATGTCAAACAGCAGCCTGCTAGTTATGCTATGTAAAAGAGTGCAAACAGAATGGAGATTTCTCCCCATCTGCTGATCCTAATGCCAGTGAATATAAAAAGGGAAGCAATTCTATGCAGGTGTGAACAAAAAGGCTCCTGTAGAGACTCAGTAACTGCACTGAGGCTCTGAGTTATGAGCTGAAGCAGAAATAACAGTGATTAATAGCCCAGCACTTGTACTGACTTGTTGTGTACAGATGAGAAAAATATCCTGAAAAAAAAAGTCTTAGAGAAGAAATCACTTGAGGGGCATTTCTTCCCAAAGTCCCTGCTTTTCCCCAAAGCACCTGCCTTTGGACTGGAACAGAGGATCTGCAGGACAGCCAGAGCCTGTGCTCTTGTGCTCACGTCCACACCACTGCCAGCCTGCAGTCCTTGCTGTCTCACCTACCAGAGACCCTGCCAGGCCTTCTCCTGGACAGCTGGACCCCTTTCCACCATCTCCCCTCCTGATCTCCCTTAGCTTTTGACCTGACCCAGGCATCAGCCAGCACAAGGCTGATGAAGCCTCTGTCCTGCAGTCCCCAGCCTCAGCCAGGGCTGCCACAGCCCGCTGCCAGTCCGAGGCAGCCCAAGCTGCAGCAAGCTGAACGCTGCCCTCACTGGGATCCATTCTCTCTCATCTTCTCCAAGGTAAACAGCCAGAGTGAGGAAACTCAGTAACAGAGATGTTTTTCTTCCTCTCCTCCATCAGAACAGTCGCTTACAAAAGCACGTTGTCACCAAGAAAGGGATTTCAATAAAGTTTCCATTTCAAGACTGCTTGCTTTGGATAACTGCCAGGGGCTTTATCTTGCTCCCTGTTTCTCTCGCGGGTGAAGTCGATACATTTCCAAAGAACAGCATGCATTTTGTTTTTTTTTTTTTTTTTATCAGACAAAGGATTTAGGAGGCAGAAGCGTCTGCATTGAAACCAGAGAGCAAACCCAAGTCTGCACAGCCTGCCAGTGCTCCAGGCAAAGCGCAGCGTTCGGTGCAGCCACAGGAGCTGAGAACACTGAAACATGGCTCCTTGCCAGACACCCACCGCATTTCTGCTTTTTTCCTCCTCACACAGAGGAAGAAGAGCATGGCAGTCTTAGGAAAAAGCCTCCCACGCTTTTTCGTTGATAATAGGGAGAGGAAAAAAAGCACAGCCCTTAGAATATGCTTAGCAACTTCTGGACACAAGGGCCAGTCCCACAGAAGCCAGGTCACTGCAGCTCAGAGCTGCGAGATGCTGGGCTGGAATAAGTGTGTGAGGGGAGTGCTCAACAAAATACAATATTCAAGACAGACAACATTATTCGTGTTAAATGTGTGATTCAAACCCTTTCAGCACACATCAAAACTCCAGAGCTGCCTGTGGAGCAGAAGAGCAGGGCAAGACTCAACTCAGAGAATGCCTACCCAAAGACATCTGGACAAGGGAGAAATGAAGTAGTCATCTGCGGACTGATCCTTTTTGCCTCAGGTCTATGGCTACTGTTAAGAGAAAAGAGAAGCAGCAAGCAGCTAGAAGCAGCCCAGCACCATTCAGCCTCTTCATCTTTCCCCTAAATCCACCTGCTAAAGCAGAGGTGGCCACGTCCATCAATATCACTGACCGGTGGACTCATTATTTCTCCTCCTTCCATTACCACCTCCCTCCAGAGAGGACCAGAGCTCAGTCTCGTTGTAACCCACTCCCAACTTACTAGCCCATGCCCCAGCCCATGGTGTACCTCCTCACTCAAACAGGAGAATTTCCTTTCCAGTTCCTGCTTCTCCTCAGCCACTTGCTTTTTCTTCACATCTGGGATCTCCTCACCACGTGCATCAAGTACTTGCTCCATGAAGTCCTTTTTCATCCTCTTCATTTTGATTTGCAGCTCTTGCTGTGCGGTCAGTCAGTTCTGGGTCCAGCTGCAGAGGCAACGAACAGATGGGCTGAGCAGGGATGTACAAGGAATATGTATGGATAGGGAGGGGGGCATCCTATTTTTCCCCTCCAAAACCTCTAAAACCTCAACCACCTGGCCATCATGCAGATTAGCTATCTAATCCAAGAGGCCAAAACAACTCATAGCTGATCTCTGCTCCGGTAGGGATGGACCCCAGGTTTCCCAGATCACATACACTGGTGCAGCAACACCTTGCTTGATGGGAAGAAGTCAGATTTGGCACAGCCTGGAGACTGCTGCTCACCTGGCAGTGACAGGAACTGTATTTTTCAATTACATCCCATCACAGCTTCAGTTTCCTGTCAGACAAATTGCAGGTGACTGTCTGACTGGCTGTGAGCTCAAGGCAGGGAAGCCCCATGCCCACAGCTCAGATGTTGTTTTCCCTCACTGTGACAGATGCAACATTTTTGTTAATTAAGATGCAAACACATGCTCTTCCTCAGAGAGGTCAAGCATAACGTGTACAGCAGTAATTAATTAAGCAGGAGTGACTGGCAGCACTCGTAGTCCAGCATCGGGTACAACAGGCTTCATTTTGATTCCTGCTATCCTAGCTGTTACCCGACCTCACCATCAGCCAAAAAACATTTTCTCCAGTTCTACCACTCCGGCTTCATCTGATTTATCAATCCAGTTATCTAAAAAGGAAAGGAAGGGAAAGACAATTAAAGAAAAAACACTGTTGTAAACACATTCCCCTTTTCTTTCTGCAGTATTGCCACAAGCCCACAACGCCCCCCACCACTCCCTGCAGGGCTGTGCTCTGCCCCTGCCAGCAAACCCCATCTGCCCACTCTCCTACTGCTACTGCAGCACCTCTGCCTGCAGACTGACTTGCCCTTCCCCGTGGGAGGACACTGCAAGATATTGGCTTCTTTTGGAAACTGCTGTCAATAAAAACACTAAACCCTGGCAGCACTCCCAGCCCAGACACAGCAGCATCCTGGATCTGATACAAGTGGCATCGCTGTGCCTCAAGCCAGGGGAGGCACGGCCCAAAGAGGGTAGCGAACAGCAGCCTGGAGCCCTGTCCTGTGTGCAGGGTAGGGGGTGGGAGCAGAAAACTAATACCAAGATGAACAGCTCAGCTTGAGGAAAAACCATGGGGAAAAAAAAAGCAGAAAGTTTTGATGACCAACAGTTCCAGTGAGGACAGGGATGAAGAAGCGGGGTTTGCTCTAGAACCACGATTGATAGGACAGGTTTCATCTGCACTACAACCAGTGAAGAGACTTACCCACCAGCCACTCAACGTTCCTGGCAAGGTGCTTGCACAAGCCAGGAGCAGCTCCGTTCTTGTACAGCATCATTTGTGAGGCACATTCACCAATCAACTTCTAACTGTGAGGTCTGTGGCAGGAGACGAAGCAACAAAGCATTAGTATTCTTACAATGAAGTATCTGTTGGCAAGCTTTTGTAAATGTGCCAAATCAATTTTTAAAGATTTCAGAGAATAGGACCACACAATTAAATAAGAAAAACATAGAAATGCTTCTCCATGATGGACGAGCTAGCAAGCAAGCTAGCCAGAACTTCTCCAAGTAGAAACATGGTGAAGAGAGAGGAAAAAAAAAAAAAAAAAAGGTTTAAAAGCAAGTCATACAGGTATGGGAAGGATGTGGAGGATTCTGTTTACCATCTACTGAAAGAAGGTTGGGGCCATCTGAATCATAGAATGGCTTGAGTTGGAAGGGACCTTAAAGATCACCCAGCTCCAATTGGGTGACGCCATCCACTAGATCAGGCTGGCCAAGACCCCATCCAACCTGGCCTTGAACACCTCCAGGGATGGGGCATCCATAATCAAAAATCAGCCTTTTAGTAAGGTATGCTCTCCAGGTCAGTATGTGGCAATAGGGCCATTCCTCAAAATCCGAATTTATTTTTCGTTCTTTGACACCTCTAACGACATGAGGTACTGTCTCTCCACCTGTCTTCTCTCTTGCTAAGAATCCATTTTAAACTCATTGAGGGATACCCAAAACATTCATAACACATCAGAGATTTCTTAATAGACAAACATTTTTTACTGAACAGCAAAGAATCCTTCCAGAAACCACACAAAAACTGTTAAGAAATATCTCATGGTACCTAGGTGCAGAACTCCATAGTTCCTTCTGTTCTTGTAAAATCAAGCTAAGGAAGATGACCAAGTGAAGAAACAAAGGACAGAACTTTTACTACAGAACCTTTACTACAATTAAAGATTGACCTAATTACTGCACGATCCACCACGTCTCTGAAATCCTCCTGCAAGGCTTCCATAAGCAACCAACCAAATAATTGTGGTGCAATATAATACTGAAGAGCCCACTGAATAAAAGCACAGCAGCTGTAAAACTCTTGGAGCCATGCTCAGAAGCACTGTTTACCATTTAGGACAGATGCTATTACACAAGGGTGGTGCCAGATACAGCTCCTATTAAACTTATCCAATATTTTTAGTCTCATTTGAGAGTTAAAATACACTGGGGGAGAAGCCAGAGATGTGGCTCTACCCAAAAACTGCTCTCAGCCTATGGAGGCAAGTTTGCTTTCTCTTTCCCCTAGACACTGTCAGAAGAATAATCCATTTCCCAGGTAAACCCCAAAACTATTTATGGGGTTTCTAGAAGAGAACGAGCAATTCAGGTGCCATAAAAAAAAAGAAAAAAGGTATCAGAGCTACAAAGGGAAACCATTTTCAAAACATTAATGGGAAAACCTAGAAGCAGAATTAGAAATGCCATACAAACCTCAGCAGGTGAGCCTCCCCTCAAGACCACAAACACCACGGCTGGTGATCGCCTCCCAGCACCCTGTACTGAGACCACGCAAGGAAGGAGCCACGCACCCCCACGTCCAGAGGCATGCAGGGTACCTCGCAAGTAGCTTTTTGGTGATACCTGACCTGGTCCGACACCTGCTTGCACAGGATCCAGACTTCAGCCGCCTTCATCCCGCCGTGAAGAGATGGGACGCAGCCACTGGGCTCAGACACGCACTGCTGCTGGGGATCAGACCACAATTAATTAATTCCCTGTGGTGTGGAGCTGCCCAAAGCAGGCACATGCTCAGTGCTGCGGGCACTAAGACGTTTTTGGTTACATACTGTTTTGAACTGGTAAAGCACAGAGGAACATAGTTTATGACCTGTTGCGAATTAGCCCCGAAATAGCAGGGGCAAGGGCAAATCTTGTAGATTTAAAAGTTAATTGAATTAAATTAGCATTAAACATACACCATTACGAGATTAGGCCGAAGGCTTACAGCAAGGTACAAGGACATCTAATGCCTAGGTAGAAATCCTTGACACTTCCTCTATTTTAGTCTATAAAACGATCATCCAAAGAGCTACAATAAACCTTTTAAACAGCAAATAAAAAGCAAACTAACAAGGAAGGAAAGGTCCCGGCTCTGTCCAAGCCCAAGCAGGGGACAGGAGGCTGACACGGGGAGGAAACAGGCTCCAGGAGCACCAGAACCTCCTGGCCCAGCAGCACTGTGTGAGCAGGGCACAGCCCCAAGCCCCGAGGGAGGGGGCATTGCTCAGTGTCCCAGCCCTGTGTTTTTAAAACTTACCTTCCCCTACTACGGACGTGATTTCACAGAGCTGTGTTTTGGCTGGAAGAGGTGAGTTTGTTGTTTTCTTGATTCCAAAAACACGAACAGGAGGGAAGCCAGCCCTCACTGGGCAGTGGAGAGCAGAAACAGGAAAATCCTACCCACGGTGCGGGGCGTGGATCACATCAAAGGCTGCCGAGTGAGACGAACAAGAAACAAGAAGGCATCATGAGTTTCTGTGCGCCACTAGGAAAACTTGCTCTGTAATTATTAACCATTGCCCAATCCAGCATTTCCAGGAACTGGAAGAGGAGATTTTATGAGCACAAAGCTCTCTTCACCAAGGGGAAAACAGCTCTTAAATTACCTGATCGGAGCCTGAAGCCCCCCAGTTTTCTCACTAACTGCAGACTAAAGGCAGAGATCAGCCAGTGACTTGCCTCCCCCTCCTCAGAGGACATGAAGATTTCTGTCAGTACCACCAGGACACTCGGTTGCTTCCAAGCGAGCTCAGCAGCTCCTGGAGCTGAATGCCACGGGATGGCTGGGCAGGGTGAGGAGCAGGAACCAGCCACCAACCTGTCATCACCATCCCCACTGAGTCAGGCTGGGGCTCTGCCTCCCCTCTTGGCACCACAGGCGAGCTCTGGAAAAGCTTCTGAGGCTGGACTTGGGGCTTCCATTGATGGAAACCTGAAACAAAATGATAGGGAACAGCATGGGTACCACAGTGCTCATCTATTTTGGTATTAGACATGATCCTGAAGGCAACGTAAGGAATAAAAATAGACCAGCTTAACTATGTGTTCTGAAGAAAATTAGTTTAATTCTATTAATTATAATTGATGATTTTAATTATTATTTTTGATTGTTATTTCTAACATCACGTAGGCATTTATTCCACACATTTCTTCCAAGGGAGATGCAAATGTTACAAATGCACAGCAGAGCTCAGCTTTTTGCACTGCCCCTTGTTTCTTTATGAGGCAGAACAGCCTCAGGAGCTGGATTTGGGATGGGAAAAAGGAACAGGAGAGCCCAGGTGCTGCAACAGAGAGGCTGGGCCATGACAGGAGCAGGAAAGACTCACCTGAAAGCCTGAGCACACAGCAGCAAACAGGCATCTAACAAAGAGGGGACAACGTACAAGCTTGCAGCCAGTTAGTGCATGCTTGCAAAGAATGGAAATTGATTACATTGCATTTAATCATCAGCCACATTCAGACGAAGCAAAAATCAAATTGTGCAAAAGTGTTTGAGAGGAGTGGAGATGCAGCAACGAGCAGCTGCTGAGGCTAAAGCAGGCTTCACAAGCAGACCTTACCTGAGCTGGAGGTCTTGCGCTGGGCCACGGTGCGCCTCTGTCACTGGAGCTGGCTGAGATCAGCCCAAGCTGCAGCACGAAGCTGGCTGCTGGAGCCTTGGGAGTGGCAGGAGGGAAGCCAGGCTGCTTGTAGGCTCTGGTGAGTCCTGATCTCCAGCACCACTGGCCTCTGAGGGCCTGGCATGGGGGAGGCCAAAGCCCTCTGGGCCTCCAGATGGTGTGTGTGGGGTTGCTTACCTACTGCATGCCTGTGACCGTGGGACGAGCCTTTTGCAGGTCACGGCATCGCTGTGCCACCACCTGGCCCCACACAGAGATTCATGAGACCACCACCCGCCAGCACAATGGGGATAATGGAGCGATGGGGACATGGCTGCAGGACCAGACAGGAACAGCCACTGACATGGGCTGTGGGAACACCATGAGGCAGAGCAAGAGCGTGCAACTCAAAGAATCTGTTTTTAAAGTTGTGTTGTTTTTGAAATGTGACCTCTGCGGGCACCTGCTTTCTCTGTAACCAGGGGCACAAGCAGGAGTGGTGATGAGACCTCTGGACTGGTCTTTTTACAGGAAACCAGGGCTCTCCTCGCTGCACAGCGGTGCTGAGCACACACTGGTGTACACCTCAAGGAGCTCTTCTGTTCGTTTTGACAGGTCAGACAGCGTAGGACACCACGCTGCCAGGGACAACGCACACGTCCTCAGTCACCGGAGCACAGGAGCCAAAAGGCGCGAGCATTAAACAGACAAATGACAGGTCAGGTAAGAAAAATACTGCCTCTTCATTTAATGTTTAAAGACATCAGTAAACAAACAACAGTATGCACAATAAGAGGCTAAACCCGTCCCCTCTCCCCAAACAGCACCCTCCAAACCACGACAGGACCAGGTGACAACACGGGAGAAGGAGCAGCAGCAGTCTGGGATTTAGGAAACCTCTGCTGTGTGAAGGCAAGACGACAGGACCTGCAGTAGGCAGCTTCCCTCACCCATGAGCAGAGTGACATCTCCTGGGCAGCCACAAGGGAGTGGCTTGGGTTCCACATCTCTTGCAAACACACAGAAGGGCCACACGTGAATTTGGAAAACAGCTGGAAGCTGCGTTGGAGATGCAAGACGCACCATGTACTGACCTTGGCAACCAAACTGCTGTTCCGCAGTGATTTTAGCCTCTCACAGAATGAGGAAAATGTGGGGGTTAGGTCCAGCTTGGCAAAGTGTTGCAGTACTCATTTGTGAACGCAAAACTGAGTACAGGGGGAAACAAACAAGACTACGCTCTGCATACATTCTTCCACCTTGCTCCAGCAAGCTGCTCCCTGCTCCAGTCACGCTCCTGACCCCTACCCCAGAACTGGCCTTGTCTTCTTGAACGGTTTTCCTTGAGCTGTGGAGCATCAGATGGTCAGAAAGGGGATCGGGAAGCAAGCCTCAGCGTAGGCTTCAGAGGACAACTGACTGGGTACCTGAGCAGAGGGCTGGGGAGACTGGGATGCGGCAGGTGTGTTGCTGACGAGAGGCAGAGGTTGAGGCACAAGCTCCAGCTCCCACCTTCTGGCAGAAGCCCACACGGAGTTACAGGAGCTGACTGGGCCGGTGCAGGTCGGGCTCAGCAGCTGCATGGCTGCCAGCCGGCACACAGCACAGATCTGAGCACTACTTGAGTTTCCATTTCCCCGAGCGGTGACAGTTGGAACCGTGACGTGTGGTGGAAAGTAAGGAACACATTTCACTGCTCTCTGCCTTGCAGACAGCAGAAGTCTGCAGTGGTGCTGTTTCTGCTGCCACCGCTTGCAACCAAATACAAAGGGAGGGCTCGCTGGCACCTGTGCAGCCCAGTTAACTGCACCAAGCATCAACGTGGGTCCCCCCCGCAGTCCAGAGTCCCACACCAGAGCCCTCAGATCTCGACATCGCTCTCTTTGTCGTTATCATGGTCACCATCATAAAACTCGTTGGCAGCTTCAGGCCTAGGGGAAGAGACAATCATCATTAGTGAAGAGCCCTGGCACCCTTGGGGCAAAGAAGAATGCCCACAGGTCTCACTGCACGTTAGAAGATGCCTTGCACCCAAATACCTCAAGAACTGTTTTGTGAGGAGACCACACATTTACAGAGAGGATCCCTGGATAAAAAGCAGACTCAAAAGTGAGTTTGTATCTGTTCCAGGAAATGGTCTCCAGTACATACTCTACCCATCCCAGCAGGAACTTAAAGGGAATCCCATTTCTCCAGAACAAGAGTTGATACCTGCTGTAGTTTTCCTCAGAGCCTCTTTCCTCTGGATCAGGCTCATCTGTGCGATCGTAGCTGAGCAAGTCAGAAGGGACATCGTGGATCTGCACGCTGGGAGCATGGTTCAACATCTTCAGATTCTCAAATATCGTCTGCCTGATCTGATCCAAGTACTACTTAGAGAAAACAGAGAAGGATCACCACTGTCAGATCTGGTACTTTGCACAGACAGAACTACAGCTGTTAGCACTACAACCTGCCTGCACCACCTATGTGGTGGCCATGAGAAATGCATTTAACAAAAAGAACTATTTATCAGAGCAGAGGAGGTAAGAGGGTTAATTCAATCACTGAGGCTCCTGCACTTAGAAAACAGTAAGACAATTCAACCATGTTCTCAAATACTTTTGTCCCTTTGAGACTTTCTGACATCGAAGAGGAAAGGCTGTGCTTGCTCTTCATCAGCTTGCTGCTCCCACAATAACCCTTTGCCTGGGTCCCAAGTGGTTTCACAAAAGCATCAACCACAGGGTTTTTGGGTTTACACAGCTGGACACCGCAGCGAGGCTGCGAGCACTCACCTGCCTCGAGTTCTGATTTTCAATCCTCGTACTGACATCAGGGTGAAGGGTGAAGTCTGGAGCGAAGTATTCGAAGTACTCTGCAATGGCACAAGCACAATGGTTAAAGCACAGAGGCAAGGGAGCCAGCCACCAGCTGCAGAGCAGCTGAACTCACTTTCCCACCATGCCAGAGGTGACCAGACCCTAAAAACCACAGTGACGTACAGCTCTGCAGCTGTTCCATACCATTCCTTGCAGAGTCAGCAAGAGTAACACTCAGATCACCCAAGAGGAAGTGAACCACGTTAAATAACACATCACACGCTCAGGGTGTGCCTGCCCAGCAAAGCCTATGAGCAGGAGGTAGAGGGAACCAGGGTTATCTCTGAGATCAGGAAGCGCTGACACTTGGGCCCTGCTTATCTGTGGTCAACGCAGAATAGAAGTGCTATTTTTTCATCTGACACAACCTACTTTAGCTCAACGAGTGGAGAAAATACAGGAACTCAAAACTTACCACTGTACGGGAGCTCTTCACTAATTGCTTCATCTACAAGCAACGATGTTTCATAAGTCCTAAAAACATGAAATAACATGGGCTCAGCCCACAGAAAGCTACACCGTGTATGCAGGGGCAAAGACCACAGCGACTGCTTAACCTGTGACCTTCAACTAGGATTGGAAAAGACTCACCAGCACCGTGCCACATTGCGGACTGTGTAACCGCCTCCTCCCAGTACCAGTAAGGGGATGTTGAAGCTCTTCACATACTCCACGCATTCCCTGGAAATCCCAAACAAACATGTCTGAGCTTCTAACTGCAGCACGTGCTCATATCAGAAGTGTCACTGTGTGCTCAAACGCCACCACGGCTCATGTGACACACCTGGGACTCAGGGCTCCTACCCTGGGAAACTGAGCCAGGTGCTACTCTGTGAACTGCTGCTCTTGGTCAGAGTCCCACTCTGAGAACCCCTCCCATCACACAAGGGTTTAAAAAAGAAGACGACAAAAGAACCCACACAAACCAACAAACCCCAAAAACCGTTGGTGTGGCTGAAGGCCAAAGTCAAGGTCTCACAGCAGAGGACGCTCTGCAGCCCTTCAGACTAAAGGACAGTCTTTCAGCTAACTGCTGTGCCCCTGCCCCGGTACTTACCCATGCCCTCTTATACTGAGGTTAAAACAACCCAAACGGTCGCAACCCAGAGAATCAGCACCACACTGGGGAAAAGAAAAAGAACAGCTGAGTTTTGGCTACATAACCACTGCTTTCTGCATCACCATTCTACCCCTCTGCCACCTGCATTCACCAGAGGTACAGACAGCAGCTCGGCTAGGACACACTGACCCCAACCACTGGGAACAGAGGATAACCCAATCAAGAAATGCCCCCCCAACCTACAGCCT